AGGAATGGAGACCGCTAATTCGCACGCAGTCCCTGGAGGGGCTCGGTTTCAGCCTTTGACATAGAAGAATAGAGCACATAAATACACACGTGTCAGCCTACTCATTCATATAGGTAACGGGGACAGTGTCAGCAAGGTTTAGCAAGCCCTCCACGCCCACAGGGTGACTCAGGAAATGTCACTTGAGGCCCACTTGGTCCTATGCCCTGCAGATACTGCTGCTGACCATCAGGGACTGGAGTCTATGGAGGAAACTGAGCAAGCGGCTAATGCAGCAACTTGTGCGTCTACACTGTGGAAGCACATAGGGAGACACCTGAGCTGGGCTGGTGATGAGAAGTCCTGAAGGTGGTTCCCAAACCAAGATCTAGAACTCAGACAGGGGCCAGGCCCACAGCCTCGTGGCTATGGAGTGAGATCTCATAAGGTTCAAATCCCAGCTTCAGGGGCTTGAAAACCACACCAGGTGCATGTGCCTGCGTGCCCGAAATCCTGACGGGGAGGGAGAAATGGAGGGGTGAAGGGGTGCTGCTGGGGGGATACTTTCTCCCTCTGTCACGCTCTCTCCGTGTTTCTCTCTCTCTTACTGTTAGCAGCTTTGCATGAGTTTAAGCCACCAGGTCTGGGACTCAAACCATGGTCGACTACATGGGAGTCCAGTGACATAGTCATTATGCTAACTGCTGGTTCCAGTGCATAAATTATTGACAGATAAGCTATCACATTTAAAATGATTATTCTTGTAGCTGCATATTTGTAAAAAAAAATACCTTTCTATTCATCAATGAACTTAACACTTTTGAATCCCATTAGAAGCTAGTTTGGCTGCCTCTTTTGCCATGAGTAAGGAAGGGGTGTGCGGTGTGTACATACATGTGGGAGGGAAGCCTGAAAGACAGTCGGGTCTTAAAAGATCTTAAGTCTCCTGGGCCAGCAGGTGACATGGAGGTTAAGGGAGTGGGATTCCACATGGCCAAATGGGTCAAGTACAGAACCAGCAACTTGAAAATCACAGTGGGCGTGTGCATGCCCAAAATCCTGAGAGGAGACTGGAGGAGGAGGAACGGTGGCATGGCCATCCTCCCCGAGGAGGTGTGATTTCTCATTCTCTCTCTCTCGTGTGCACACAAATACATAGTCCTCATTAATTATTAATTAAATTGTTCTCATTTTCTCTTTAAAGAATTATTAATTTATTATTATTATTATTTAGAGAGAGATTTTTGCTATAGGGTGCATGCATGGAGGGATGCCATGCTGCAATCCTTTCTCTTTCATTATCTTCTTAGGATCTTGGGCACACACACACACACATGCACTCAGCATGAGTGTTAAGTCACCAGGTCCGAGACTTGAACCATGGAAGTCCAGCAACGTAATCATTACACCATCTCCTGATACCATTATTATTATTATTATTAAATTTGTATAGGCCACATGTGCTCATCAGAGAGTAGGGAAGCGGGAAAGTGAGAAAACAAACTGTCAAGTCCAGGACTCAAACTGCAGTCAGCCATTAGAGAATCCAGTGCTCCAACACCACGCCACCTGCTGGCCCCAGTCTCATTGTCATAATAGAAAAATTTTAATAGAATCCCTCGTCTTTTGGTCCCAACTATACTCACTTATATTCCACTATTCTTTTTTTTTTGGAGAGTTTTTTTTTTTTTTTTTTTTTTTTCAATAAGGGGAGCGCGACC